GAAGACAACACATGCGGGTGTGGCGTCCTCTTAAGTAAAATAAATATAGTTTAAAGCAGCGGTTCCCAAACTTTTAGGATCACGGAACCCTTAGGAAATAGTTTGTGTTTTGCGGAACCCTAATGTCTTTACTTCCAACTCAACCCTATTTTTTCTAAAAAAAACCAGTACTACAAAAAATGTTTCAGACATCACGTCATACATCTGACGGAACCCTTGAGATAGTCCCACGGAACACACTTTGGGAAACGCTGGTTTAAAGGGTTTTTTCATACTTCCACTCAATTATGATCCAGGCCTCTAGCTTTTGTGTTATTTATTGGTCAGGCACAGTTATCTAGTTTATTAGGCACCCTAAAAAAGAGACTCGAGTACTCTTATATATGTAAATAGATACCACGGTGTGGTCTTTTGAATACGATTTTCAAAATTAATTCAGTTTTGAATCTTTTTATATATGCATAGGTACCAACATAATTTTCCAATCGTTGGTTACTCAGCTACTGCAATGAATTTCGATATTTCACGCCCGACATAATGATATAAACTTCATGACGCGATGGTTGTACTTCGGATCTCTACTAAATAACTACATATTATTATATTTGTGAATTGTAGACGATTATTTCAATAATAATCGTTTGATTGATAACATGCAATGAAATGACACTATTTACTCTATGATGTTTACTCTTACCTACACAGTAACACTCACACACACACAAGGATAATATACGCGCATGATACGTGACTAACTATAATATTATCAATTTATAATATTAAAAACGTATAGCTAGTATAATATAGGGTATAGCTATACGCGTCTCTCKAGAAAAACAGCGCCTTTAATACTTTAATTACCTATATTATATTATGTTAATTTCAAATCATGACGTAATTTMGAATCGAAAATAAAGGTTATCGCGCTAGTCATCGCTACCATTATTGTTTAAATTTCATTAATAAACATAATATAGGTATACTGCAGCTGGTAGGCTAACAAGTTTGTTAAAACACGACTGAAACGAAAAGTGATAAATTAAAATATAATAGCATTTACTATATAAATATGTACGTTGT